TATATATATATATATATATATATATATATATATATATATACACGTGTCTATATGTATATATACGTGTGTGTATATATATAAGTGTGTATATATGTATACATATATATATATATATATATATACACGTGTGTATATGTATATATACGTGTGTGTATATATATAAGTGTGTATATATGTATACATATATATATATATATATATATATATATAAAAAACACATCAACTTAATATGTTGTGAAAAGTTGAATGAAGTCACGAGGAACCTGTTGGAGGAGCTCGACAGCTTCTCAGGTGTGGCACCCAGCAGATTGCTGACGATGTGGACCGAGATGTTCCCCAGCACCAGGCTGACAGTCGGACCCGACAGGAGATCCTCCAGCTCTGACACCAGCTGCTTGATCTCTGTAGAGTTCAGCTGGGACACGTTTTGGCTCCGCACCAGCAGTTTGATGGCTTTGCTTTCAGCTACAGTCAACAAAACATAAAACGATTTTATTGTGGCGCAATAAAATGTCTTGAAGTGTTCACCCCACCCTTTAAAGGCTTTTAAATTTTTTTTTAATTTTTTGTTCCATTGTAGTTGGTGTGTTAAGTTTTCTACAATGTATTATTTCTAAATGAATCACCACAAAAATACATGACTTTTTTTTTCTTCATTTAATTATGACAATAAATATATGAAATAAGAACATTGCCTCACTCTTCGCCCACAGCAAAGCATGGCTGTGGCAGTAGCATGATGAGAAGTATCTACATATTTATCAGCAGGGTTATCAAATCCAGTTTAAGTGGAAGCATTTCAATAGTTTAAATGGCAATGAGTTGGTCTGCTGTGAAATTTAAAGTTTTTATTTATTCATTCATTTATTACCTTCAACAGTTTAAACTGTATTGTTTATATCAGTTTAAAATAAAGTCTGCAAGACTACAAAAACAGAAGAAAAGCCAAGAGGGTGAATGTTTTTCCATGGTGCTTTAACATAAATATTCCACCATGAGCACAAGGTGCTGAGGCAACAACTCACCTGATTCTGTGACTGATCCACCTGATGAGTTCCCAGTGTTAGATGTGGCTGTAGTGGAGCTGAATGTTCCTGTCCCTGTGCCGTTGGCAGCAGTCGTGGTGTTTACTGGACCACCTGTGGTGTTCTGGGGTGCTGCTGATGATAGCGTTGTTGATGTTGTGTTGGTTGTGGATGTAGTACTGTTTATAGATGAGGTGGCGTTGCCTGGTTGTAAAGCTGTCATATTTAGAGTCGAGGTGTTGTTTGGTTGGATGGTCGTCATATTTAGAGTCGAGGTGTTGTTTGGTTGGATGGTCGTCATATTTACAGTCGAGGTGTTGTTTGGTTGGATGGTCGTCATATTTATATATAAGGTGCTGTTGCCTGGTTGTAACGTTGTCATATTTGCAGTCGAGGTGTTGTTGTTGGGTTGTGTGGTTGAAACATTCGGACTAGCGGTAGTCGACACACAAATCTCCTCCAGCTGGATAATATTGGTTCCATTCTGACTACAGTTTAAAAGAAAAAAGAAATAAATTGAGATCTAGAAGGAAAAATGTAACAATTTGCATTAAAGGTATGATTCAGATGTTTTGAAAGGCTGTGAAAAAATTATGAACAATCAACATCTTACCTGCTGCAGATGACTTTTTAAACAACCCCAGTTTGGAGAAATCGGGTTTAATTCTGATCAGACTTATGAGCTAACAACTAGTCTGACTGGAGCCAAGAACAAAAAAAATATATATTGCTGTTGTATTAAACTGACTTCAATCAAAAAAAAAAAAAAAAAAAAAAAATCATTGTGATTTTATAAATATTTATAGTTTTTAATTCTTTAAATAAGCTGCACAGGTATTCTGGCTGAAATGTGATAATCTGATGGATGTGCTACAGCTAGGTGATGCTGCTGCTATTTGTGCTTGCAAAAAACAATCAAAGAACCCTTTAAGAATTCTTGTATACTACGAAACTGGCAACAATAAAAAGGTTTATATTAGAGTGTCTGGGGAAAAAAACACAATGAAAGTTTTGATTAAAGCTGTTTTAAGAGATCCACTTTAGCCCAGGCCTCACTTGAACTAGCTGTTAGCTCACCAGTCCCCTCTAAATTGAATTATAATTCTCCATTATTGGAAATTTAAAGAGTTAAACAGGTAAAATCAAACTGTTCATAACATTTCCACAGGATCACGCTTCAAAATATTTGAACTATGGCTTTAAGAACATTATCATTGGTTTTAGTTAGCTTTTAAAATGTTGATTAGAGGAGAGGACATAAAGGAAGATGATACAAACCATGTGAGGATGTTGGAGTTTTGTATGTTTGTACAAAAGTCCTCAGACTCCAGGCCACCCTCTGTCCATGTGACCTGGGAGTCCAGGAGATTGTTGCTCGCTTCCAAGTTTCCACAAATTGCTGCATGTAACACAAAAAAAAAAAAAAAAACATCAATATCAGTTTCACAGACAGTAAGCTTTTGTTAGCCGAAGCAAATCTAAATTCAAATGTTAGTGAAGAATATACTCACCCGCCCGCCTCACTTGCTCATTCAGCGAAATTTGTTTCTCATCTTGAAACACGTTTCTTACAGCTGCTTCCAGAGAACAGATCGAGACATTCTGCAAAAAGCCTAAAACCACTTTGCAGTTTTGACTTTAAACAAACAAGCAAGCAAACAAACAAAAGCAAAGATAAGTGTTAGCGTTGACATTATGCTTGGTCAGTTTATCAAAATGCTGCTTCTTTATGTAAATGAGTGATAAAACATGAGAGATGTCTCACTTTGTTGTTTTTGCTTCACAGGAAACACTGGCACTCTGATGAGAGATATTGTTTTTAAAATTATAAAGTGGAACGAACAGGTGAATATTTTCTAACAGCATACAACATAGCCCCATATGTTTGAGATGGGTGGGGGGTTATGTGAAGTCACATGACCCTTCTTCTTTGTCTAGCTTCCACAACTCTTTGAGATCTTGTGTGGCTCATCAATTTATCTGTATTTTCTGCAACTCTGTACATCTTAAAAATGGGAACCAGCACACACAGCCATTGAATATTTGAGTCAAAAAGCTCAGTGCCATCTCTTCTAGGTTTTTCCATACCTCCTCTGGTATGTCCTTACGTCAAACTCTGCTTCTTTTTTCTGAACTTCACCTTCACTAATCTTTCCCACTTCCTGGTCCACAGTTTTTAAGACGTCTACTCTTCTTTCTCTTTCATTCTCTTCAGTCATTACCTCCTCATAGTACTCCTTCCATCTTCCCATCACACTCTCCTCACTTGTTAGAATATTACCATTCCTATATTTAACAAGCCTAACCTGCTGCACATCATTTCCAGCCTGATCCCTCTGTTTCGCCAGTGGATACAAGTCTTTTTCTCCCTTTTTAATGTCCATAAGGCTATTCTTAGCAACATTTTCAATAAATCAGTCAGGAAAGATTCTAAAAAGAAAATGTTAAATTAATTTAGAAATTCCACAGCATGTCTCTCCTTGGTGACTTACAATAAGATTGTTTTAGGTACTCTTACATGCTTATCTAGAACATGTATGCACATAATTTTCTATCACCGTGAGCACACACATATTATTTATTCACCAATTTATAATTTGGTTACTCTTCATTAGTAAAAAAAAAAAAAAGAAATGGTTTAAATATAAAAAGCATTTTTATGCTATAAATTTTTTTTTTTTTTTTTCATTTAGCCTTTATTTATCCAGGTTAGTCTCATTGAGCCACGAGAACTCATTTTCAAGAGAGACCTGTAAATGCTGCAGACTTTCTTAAATAAAGATTCCAGTAGTAAGATTATGCGTTGTAGTCTGTTTACCTTGTATTTAGATGCAATGAAGGCCTCTGGACATATATCACTGCAAAGGAACAGCACACAGTTTATATTTCATTTTACACAATGACTTTATTTTCATACACTTTATCAATTTGAAAAACCTACCTTGTATTGTCAAAGCAAACTTGTTGTTGTTTCAGTACAGACATCTAGAAATAAATAAAAAAGTATTAGTACCTGAATTAATGAGAAGGAATTTTACCATTATTGTGTAAACACGAGGTTTACCAGAGAGGAGAGGGATGAAGAGTTCATCGTGGGGTCTCGTACTGTAACTGAAAAGGTGTAATATGCATCTAAAAACAGAAACACAGCTAACTTTACACAGGCTTTCAGATAATATTCACTTAGGTAGAAATGAGATCAGTTGGTAAAACACAAACCAGATCTGTTGCAGTAAGCAGAGCAGTTACAGTTGATGGTGACTGAAACAAGAAGGGGACAAAAAGGAATGTTTATAGTATAAAATATATGTATGTGGTTGTATACTACCCCTAGATTACTAATAGTACTACTACCATGACACCTACTACTACTACTACTACTACTACTACTACTACTACTACTACTACT